TGTTTGGAACCCATTTTTGTTCCACTATCTCGAGAACAAGTATCAACCGATCTCAATGGTTCAAAAAGCACTTAATTTCTATTGATGGGAAGACGTGCTGATTAGTTTTTGGCAAAGACAGACCATATCAAAAATACGAAACAAAAAGTGCAAGAATGGTAATTCTTTTATTTTAAGAAAAGAAGTGGATTTTAAGAAAACGAAGTGCCCGATTTAAATAATTTAGACATTTTAAGAAGTCAGATCCAGCGGTTTCGGAAGTACAGAAAATAATGTTTGAAAAAATGCCATTTGGCGGCCAAAAATGATCATTGGACATATACTCATCAAATCATCAAATATTCTATGAAGACTTTATTAAAGTACAAATTTATTTTTTTGGGTTCTATTTCATTTTACTGGGTTCCCTACCAAGATTTGTAATGCTTATATTTCAAACAAATGTCCTCGCCATTTTAGACAGTATGCATATACAGACTTGAATAGACTTTAATAATTAAGAAATTTAAATTTATTCAATAAAATTCAAAACCTTTAAAAAAATGCAAAATTCTCAAAAAAAAACTAATTTTATCAACATTTTCAAAAAAAAAAAAAAATCTTTTAAATAACGCTACGGAAATCTCTAGATATTTGCCTAAATACAAAATACAGCGTACTAAAATAATCTCAAACGTTTATATTACAACTGTCCGAAACAATGACGTGTCGTTGAAAATGTCCCCAAAACAGCAGTTTCATATTCTACTCATTGAAAATTGTTATTCTACAAAGTTTCAAACATTTCAGCAACGTGATGAAAAAGTTACGCTAGTTCTGTGTCAGTAGCATCGTATAGTAGATCTCAATTTTGAAATTTTATCGATTTAAGAACAAAATCACGTTTTCCCAAAGTTAACCCTTAAATTTAATAAACTTGAATCTTTATCTAACATAACATAATATATTGCAGTAGATTAATTAACATTATATTAATAGAAAGGTTCTTTGGATTCATGGGCACAGCATAGTTTTGGGCTTGATGCCAAATTTTTTAACAGAATCAGGTGAACTTTCTATAATAAACATATAATGCTATATTTAACAAGTCAATATTGAACGTAAATCTAGCTATGATAGAACAGTCTACCATATCAATTAAATCACTAATAAAACTAGTGGTGCATGGCATCGTGTCGTTAGACAAATTTCTGGAACTTTCCGTACTGTTTTAAAGCGTTTAATTTTTTTTATTTTTTATATTTTTTTAATGCAATCACGCTGCGAAGCAGTCTAATGGTTAAACATTATAAATCTTGGTACGGAACCCATAAAAATTCAATCAAAATTTGAACTTATTATTAAAATCTTTCTTAAATATTTGACAATTTGATGTGCACATGTCTAATGATCATTTTTGACCGCCAAATGACAACTTTTAATTTTTTTTTAAACTGCTTTTATTGGATTTCCGAACTTGTCCTTCCAAACTAAAATACTAAAATTATAAAAACATTTAACTTAGTTTCCTTGAAGCTAATTTTACAATGTTGCAACTTTGTGGGTGATATCATATCTGTACAGGCCAAGAATTCATTTGGGCCTAGAAGCTCTTCATAAACATCATGTATTACATTTGTGATGTCTCTAGATATAATTAAGTGAGAGTGTGTATTCATGATAATTACAGTTTGAGTTAGAAACAGTTTTCATAGGATTTTGCAGCAAAACTTTGAAACAAGAAACTTAAGATACCATCACGTATAAAATTATGTAAAATCATGTACTTTGAACGAAAAAGGTTCCATTTCGATGCAATTTTATTTAAGCATATGAATTTATTGTAATACTTTACCTGCTTTATGAAAAACGGTTTAGCTATTTTTTTTCACAATATTAGTTTTAAAATTCTTATCAGTTAATTGGCAGTTAATATATTGCAAATTGATTTAAACATTTGTAAATTGGCTGATAGCAAAACTTAACTTATAATTTCAAAGAAAATAACTCATTCATCGGACTAAAGCAATTTCTACCAAGCCGATATCTTTTGAAATTATTTTATATGTTCGTACTCTAACTAGAATATTTGGATTTGATGTAAGAGAAAATATAAATTTTAAGTAATTGGTTTGGCCAATTATCTCAAAATACAAGTACACTTTAATTAAAATTCCGAGTTAAAGAGAATTTATAAACCAATTTTTATTTTTTCACTATCGTTACAATTTTTTAAATTGCTAGCTACGAAGTAATTTGTCGGATCTTTACCACAAATTAATCAGTACCATTTCCAATTGATACCTTTTGAAAAGTTTGATAATTATAATTTAGAAATTACGGACAGAAGTAGTATTTATGAGAATTAAACCGTTAATTACAGAAATTAAACATCTTGGCCGATCTGTATTAAATTGTATAAAAACAGCACTCATACCCACTGATATCTTTTGAATTAATTTGAATTTTTAAAATCGGTTCAGTTTTTTTGCAATTTTTTATTTAGCAACAAACACTAACCTACGGAAACCACAGACTGCACAAAACAGGGCTTGCATCGAACTTACATTCATTCATCCG